GACTCAGCCAGCTAGCTGCTGAATAAGAGGGAGGGGGGGTAAGAGGACACTTTTTTTTGGTCTTGAAATTTGAAAATTTGACATTTGCTCCGTTGGGGGTGGGTAAGGTCACCTTTTTTAGGTCAGTCATTGCCATAATTTCAACAAAAAACAAAAAAAAGGGGGGGGGGTTGCTAAAAAATACACATAGAAAATACAAAAGGGGGGGGGTGGGGTTCAATCCCCAAACCCCCCCCCCCCTTTGCGTACGCGCCTGCTGTAAACCAATATCAAAAAATGTATTTTTTCGCTTCGAGTTTGGTACCCTTTTTTCCCCCATAAATAAGTGCTTTCATGTTGCTCCCCCCCTCCTCAAAAGAAAGTTGACTTTAGATCATGCAAATGTCCTTGACAAATGTGTGTGTGTGTGTCCTGTCCGATCTGGGACTGCTATGATGAGCAGCTATAGTCTCAAATCCTGGTGGTATATTTCTACTGAGTTACTAAGAGTAAGACTATGTCTGGCTCCACTGCTGACGACCGCCGCAAAAGGGCGATATATTCCAGTTTACTCCAGACCGGCGGTTATTCCTGCCTGTACCCAGAGCGCAGTTTAGGCCATTAAAAAAAATATACATGTTTAAGCTTCCCCGCCCGCTTCCTTTTTGGGGGCCGCCTCCTTTATTTTTTTTTTTTTGAATTTTTTTTTGAAATTTTTTTTTTAAAGAAAAAAAACATGAAAAACACTGCTAAAATGGCTCTATTTCTGATTAAAAAAAAAAAAAATTGTCGGTGGCCATCTTGAAAAAAATTGCCCCGACTGTCAGGGAAAATGTACCGAGCAGCCATTTTGAAAGAAAAAAAAAAAGGGCCTCCTCCTTCCTATTTTTCGAAAAAATAGGACGCTGAACTTGTTTTTTTTTTTATTTGGCCTTATAGTAGACCGAATTTTTCTGTCTCTTTCGTTCGTTGGCCTCCGATTTTAAGAAGGGTCGGTCCAAGTTTATAGCAGCTCATAACAACCACACATCTCACAAGATTCAAGCCATGCTTGGACAAGATTCCTGGAAGAGAACATCAACCAAACAGTAAACTCTCAATAGCTTTAGGACCACCAAAAAAAGTGAGAGCATCCAACCTAGATCGAGTCTATAGGGTTTAGAAAAGTAAACCAAGATTATAGGTATATAGACCAAGTTCACTTTTCATTTTAGAAACAGTTTGTTTTATATTAATTTTCTAAATACAAAATAGGCTAGCACAAATTTTTAAATGTTTTTTTCCTTCATTTATTTTGTAAAGAAAAAAACAAAATAACCAGAAAACCAGCCTCCACATGCACTAGCTGGCATTACAATGTTCATATTACTAACATTGATAATAAATGTATACTATCATGTAAATATACATACATACATATATACATATATACATGTAAATGATTGGTCAATAAAACAATAAATAACAATTTAATGGACATAAACACTCGGATACATGCGACAATGAAGTAGGCCTAGACAGAAAAAAAGTATAGCACCTTGGACTTGGAACACAGATGCTATGAATTTTTTTGCCGAATGAAAATGAAAATGGTTTTAATTGTGCTCAACTGAATGTCGTAATCATATTTTAAAACATTGAGGAAATAAAATACATATTACGCAAAAATAACATTCTTATTTTTGCTCTCAATGAAACTAGATTGGACGATAGAATTCAGGATACAAAAATTAAAATAACTTGTAATTTGATTCATATACCGACCGTAACGGGCAAGGAAATGGAGTTGCAATTTATGTCCACGAAAGTCTGAAAATTAAACTCACATAACATCTTTACAAAAATATATCAATAAAGTAAATGGATGTATACAGAATTTGCCAAATGGTGTTTAAAATTAAGTATAATGGAATAAAATTCTAGACCTTTTTATCTGAAAACATGTTTATACTGTAAGAACAGATGTTTGTTTTTATCACCATGCATTTTTTTTCTTCAATTGACATATATACTCTGAACTCATGGGCCTTGATCAAGTGATATAGTGTGCAGATGGTGTCAAGTTATCCAAATATGTTTTTAAAGGTGAATTCTACCCTGATATGAAGCTAGTTTTAATAGGAGCAGGAAAATGAAAGGAACAAGCCAGTGAAAGTTAATTCGATAACAAATCAGAATATGTACAAAATTTAAAAACAAGACAGAAATTTGTACTTTTCCTCAAGAAAAATTTCAGCCTGCTCATTATAATAAAAGCAATGTATAGCAAACATGTTTTTATACAACCCCTTTTATGGAAAAAATCTATTTTCATCTATATATATATATATATATACTGACATTTAAATGAAAGATAATGAACTTTTATATACAGAGTAAATGGGAGGGGAGCGCATAAATTATGCTACAGTGTTGCCAATTTGTGCTTGATTGATCACAACGTAAACAATTCTTTACCTTCTTATTTTTAATCAGAATTTGCTCAAACATACATGTAAATGATCGGTCAATAAAACAAATAACAATTTAATGGACATAAACACTCAGATACACGCGACAATGACAATAAAGTAGGCCTAGACAGAAAAAAAGTATAGCACCTTGGACTTGGTACACAGATGCTATGAATTGTTTTGCCTAATGAAAATGAAAATGGTTTTAATTGTGCTCAACTGAATGTCGTAATCATATTTTAAAACATTGAGGAAATTAAATACATATTACACAAAATAATATTCTTATTTTTGCTCTCAATGAAACTAGATTGGACGATAGAATTCAGGATACAAAAATTAAAATAACTCATGATTTGATTCATATATGGACCGTAACGGGCAAGGAAGTGGAGTTGCAATTTATGTCCACGAAAGTATGAAAATAAAACTCACATAACATCTTTACAAAAATATATCAATAAAGTAAATGGATGTATACAGAATTTGCCAAATGGTGTTTAATAATTAAGTATAATGGAATAAAATTCTAGACCTTTTTATCTGAAAACATGTTTATACTGTAAGAACAGATGTTTGTTCTTATCACCATGCATTTTTTTTCTTCAATTGACAAATGTACTCTGAACTCATGGGCCTTGATCAAGTGATATAGTGTGCAGATGGTGTCAAGTTATCCAAATATGTTTTTAAAGGTGAATTCTACCCTGATATGAAGCTAGTTTTAATAGGAGCAGGAAAATGAAAGGAACAAGCCAGTGAAAGTTAATTCGATAACAAATCAGAATATGTACAAAATTTAATAACAAACAGAAATTTGTACTTTCCCTCAAGAAAATTTTCAGCCTGCTCGTTATAATAAAAGCAATGTATAGCAAACATGTTTTTATACAACCCCTTTTATGGAAAAAATCTATTGTCCTCTATATATATACTGACATTTAAATAAAAGTTAATGAACTTTTATATACAGAGTAAATGAGAGGGGAGCTCATAAATTATGCTACAGTGTGCAATTTGTGCTTGATTGATCACAACGTATCTAATGAAATTAAAGATTATAATCATGATGCAATTAAGGAATACACATTTTCCAAATATAAAATGTAATTGGAGATATAGCAAAGATATTTCAAAGGAATTAAACAATAAATTTTCTAAATATAAGATTGCTCTCTTTATTCTGCAAAATGCAAACAAAATAATCACATTAAAAAATACATTAAATTAACATTTTAACTACAAATGTTTTTCTTCCTTATTATTTGGCAAGTAGTTCACTATAATGACAAATATAAGGAGCGGGAGGGACCAAAAAAGGGTTACCGGTAAACATAAAATATGGTCCCGCACAAAATCACTCCATTTGTGCCCCTCGTCGTGTTATAAGTACTGACAAAGTCTCGTCAGACTTAACACAGTTAATTAGCTTAAAAAGACAAGTCAAGGATGGGAGCCTTCATGTACAGGTTCCTTGAGTACACATTCCAATGTCAAATGCTTTTCAAGGAAACCGAAAATGCAGTCATTATAGACAGGTGGTCTTTCTATACATCTGCCTGGTATACTTTGGCATGATTCAAACTGGACTTTTCGCAAATCTGTGTAAATTATGTAATGCAAGATGATGACCAGTTTCAATATCTGAGCTGTGCAGCATCCATTTGGGGAAAAAAAAAGTAAAATTTAAACTCATCACTGTGTCAAAGGGACGTGTATGTGATCCACTGCATAGCAGATAGGGGAACGACTGCAAAGTGATACGAGTACCACATTAATGTAGCAGTAACAAGAGGGGGACCAAATGCGTGGTGGCTACGTGGACCACTCCTTGGCACAATGGACCTCACTGCGTAGTGACAAAAGTACCGCAATAGGGATTTTTAGATTTGCAGCATCCATTTGAGAAAAAAAAGTAAAATTAACAATGGTAAGAGCAAAAGATCTGTCCTGGTGGAAGATTCCACCGAGAGGACAGAATATCAACTGGTCTAAGCCAGAATCCTGGTGCCTCATTAAGTTTAAACTCGGAGCTCCTTGGCCCTCATCACTGTGTCAAAGGGACGTGTATGTGATCCACTGCTTAGCAGATAGGGGAACGACTGCAAAGTGATACGAGTACCACATTAATGTAGCAGTAACAAGAGGGGGACCAAATGCGTGGTGGCTACGTGGACCACTCCTTGGCACAATGGACCTCACTGCGTAGTGACAAAAGTACCGCAATAGGGATTTTTAGATTTGCAGCATCCATTTGAGAAAAAAAAGTAAAATTAACAATGGTAAGAGCAAAAGATCTGTCCTGGTGGAAGATTCCACCGAGAGGACAGAATATCAACTGGTCTAAGCCAGAATCCTGGTGCCTCATTAAGTTTAAACTCAGAGCTCCTTGGCCCTCATCACTGTGTCAAAGGGACGTGTATGTGATCCACTGCATAGCAGATAGGGGAACGACTGCAAAGTGATACGAGTACCACATTAATGTAGCAGTAAACAAGAGGGGGACCAAATGTGTGGTTGATTTTTTACCATGTATAATGTAATGAAAGCAAAATGTATCTAAGTAATCTGGGTGAATATGTTGTGTGTTATAAATGTCTGTATTATTTTCAATGTTTCTCTATTCATTTCCTCTTCAGCGATATCCAGCACCGCCGGATCAGGACAAGGTGCATGGCCAGAACGGCAAAAGGGCCCCAATGCTCAAGAAATGCTAAAGAACGGCTAGAATACCGGGACTATTGCCGGCAGCATTGTAAGTACTGACAAAGTCTCGTCAGACTCAACAGTTAATTAGCTTAAAAAGACAATTAAGCAATTTAAAGGGAAACATTTGTATAAAGACCACTCAAGGCAGGCAGTCTTCATGTACAGGTTCCTTGAGTTCACATTCCAATGTCAAACGCTTTTCAAGGAAACCGAAAATGCGGTCATTATAGACAGGTGGTCTTTCTATACAGGTGGTTGTATTACTCAAAATATATAGGGTCCTTGCCCTTCTTTGGGTAAAATGGATAATCCCCCTTCTTTGTTCGAGTGACATATACCACGTTTAAACAAAAAATCAAAGCTGCTAACCATGAAGATACCGAAATCATTAAAAAAAGAATTTGTAAAATATGAAAAAGAACCCCTATCAGGACTAAAAGAGCCCCCGTAAGAATTCTGAAAATCTGCTTGGTATACTTTGGCATGATTCAAACTGGACTTTTCGCAAATCTGTGTAAATTATGTAATGCAAGATGATGACCAGTTTCAATATCTGAGCTGTGCAGCATCCATTTGGGGAAAAAAAAAGTAAAATTTAAACTCATCACTGTGTCAAAGGGACGTGTATGTGATCCACTGCATAGCAGATAGGGGAACGACTGCAAAGTGATACGAGTACCACATTAATGTAGCAGTAACAAGAGGGGGACCAAATGCGTGGTGGATACGTGGACCACTCCTTGGCACAATGGACCCCACTGCGTAGTGACAAAAGTGCCACAATAGGGATTTTTAGATTTGCAGCATCCATTTGAGAAAAAAAAGTAAAATTAATAATGGTAAGAGCAAAAGATCTGTCCTGGTGGAAAATTTCACCGGGAGGACAGCTAGAATATCAACTGGTCTAAGCCAGAATCCTGGTGCTTCATTAAGTTTAAACTCAGAGCTCCTTGGCCCTCATCACTGTGTCAAAGGGACGTGTATGTGATCCACTGCATAGCAGATAGGGGAACGACTGCAAAGTGATACGAGTACCACATTAATGTAGCAGTAACAAGAGGGGGACCAAATGCGTGGTGGATACGTGGACCACTCCTTGGCACAATGGACCTCACTGCGTAGTGACAAAAGTACCGCAATAGGGATTTTTAGATTTGCAGCATCCATTTGAGAAAAAAAAGTAAAATTAATAATGGTAAGAGCAAAAGATCTGTCCTGGTGGAAAATTCCACCGGGAGGACAGCTAGAATATCAACTGGTCTAAGCCAGAATTCTGGTGCCTCATTAAGTTTAAACTCAGAGCTCCTTGGCCCTCATCACTGTGTCAAAGGGACGTGTATGTGATCCACTGCATAGCAGATAGGGGAACGACTGCAAAGTGATACGAGTACCACATTAATGTAGCAGTAAACAAGAAGGGGACCAAATGTGTGGTTGATTTTTTACCATGTATAATGTAATGAAAGCAAAATGTATCTAAGTAATCTGGGTGAATATGTTGTGTGTTATAAATGTCTGTATTATTTTCAATGTTTCTCTATTCATTTCCTCTTCAGCGATATCCAGCACCGCCGGATCAGGACAAGGTGCATGGCCAGAACGGCAAAAGGGCCCCAATGCTCAAGAAATGCTAAAGAACGGCTAGAATACCGGGACTATTGCCGGCAGCATTGTAAGTACTGACAAAGTCTCGTCAGACTTAACAGTTAATTAGCTTAAAAAGACAATTAAGCAATTTAAAGGGAAACATTTGTATAAAGACCACTAAGGCAGGCAGTCTTCATGTACAGGTTCCTTGAGTTCACATTCCAATGTCAAATGCTTTTCAAGGAAACCAAAAATGCGGTCATTATAGACAGGTGGTCTTTCTATACAGGTGGTTGTATTACTCAAAATATATAGGGTCCTTGCCCTTCTTTGGGTAAAATGGATAATCCCCCTTCTTTGTTCGAGTGACATATACCACGTTTAAACAAAAAATCAAAGCTGCCAACCATGAAGATACCGAAATCATTAAAAAAAGAATTTGTAAAATATGAAAAAGAACCCCTATCAGGACTAAAAGAGCCCCCGTAAGAATTCTGAAAATCTGCCTGGTATACTTTGGCATGATTCAAACTGGACTTTTCGCAAATCTGTGTAAATTATGTAATGCAAGATGATGACCAGTTTCAACATCTGAGCTGTGCAGCATCCATTTGGGAAAAAAAAGTAAAATTTAAACTCATCACTGTGTCAAAGGGACGTGTATGTGATCCACTGCATAGCAGATAGGGGAACGACTGCAAAGTGATACGAGTACCACATTAATGTAGCAGTAAGAAGAGGGGGACCAAATGCGTGGTGGATACGTGGACCACTCCTTGGCACAATGGACCCCACTGCGTAGTGACAAAAGTGCCACAATAGGGATTTTTAGATTTGCAGCATCCATTTGAGAAAAAAAAGTAAAATTAATAATGGTAAGAGCAAAAGATCTGTCCTGGTGGAAAATTCCACCGGGAGGACAGCTAGAATATCAACTGGTCTAAGCCAGAATCCTGGTGCTTCATTAAGTTTAAACTCAGAGCTCCTTGGCCCTCATCACTGTGTCAAAGGGACGTGTATGTGATCCACTGCATAGCAGATAGGGGAACGACTGCAAAGTGATACGAGTACCACATTAATGTAGCAGTAAACAAGAGGGGGACCAAATGTGTGGTTGATTTTTTACCATGTATAATGTAATGAAAGCCAAATGTATCTAGGTAATCTGGGTGAATATGTTGTGTGTTATAAATGTCTGTATTATTTTCAATGTTTCTCTATTCATTTCCTCTTCAGCGATATCCAGCACCGCCGGATCAGGACAAGGTGCATGGCCAGAACAGCAAAAGGGCCCCAATGCTCAAGAAATGCTAAAGAACGGCTAGAATACCGGGACTATTGCCGGCAGCATTGTAAGTACTGACAAAGTCTCGTCAGACTTAACAGTTAATTAGCTTAAAAAGACAATTAAGCAATTTAAAGGGAAACATTTGTATAAAGACCACTCAAGGCAGGCAGTCTTCATGTACAGGTTCCTTGAGTTCACATTCCAATGTCAAACGCTTTTCAAGGAAACCGAAAATGCGGTCATTATAGACAGGTGGTCTTTCTATACAGGTGGTTGTATTACTCAAAATATATAGGGTCCTTGCCCTTCTTTGGGTAAAATGGATACTCCCCCTTCTTTGTTCGAGTGACATATACCACGTTTAAACAAAAAATCAAAGCTGCTAAGCATGAAGATACCGAAATCATTAAAAAAAGAATTTGTAAAATATGAAAAAGAACCCCTATCAGGACTAAAAGAGCCCCCGTAAGAATTCTGAAAATCTGCCTGGTATACTTTGGCATGATTCAAACTGGACTTTTCGCAAATCTGTGTAAATTATGTAATGCAAGATGATGACCAGTTTCAACATCTGAGCTGTGCAGCATCCATTTGGGAAAAGAAAGTAAAATTTAAACTCATCACTGTGTCAAAGGGACGTGTATGTGATCCACTGCATAGCAGATAGGGGAACGACTGCAAAGTGATACGAGTACTACATTAATGTAGCAGTAACGAGAGGGGGACCAAATGCGTGGTGGATACGTGGACCACTCCTTGGCACAATGTACCCCACTGCGTAGTGACAAAAGTACCACAATAGGGATTTTTAGATTTGCAGCATCCATTTAAGAAAAAAAAGTAAAATTAATAATGGTAAGAGCAAAAGATCTGTCCTGGTGGAAAATTCCACCGGGAGGACAGCTAGAATATCAACTGGTCTAAGCCAGAATCCTGGTGCCTCATTAAGTTTAAACTCAGAGCTCCTTGGCCCTCATCACTGTGTCAAAGGGACGTGTATGTGATCCACTGCATAGCAGATAGGGGAACGACTGCAAAGTGATACGAGTACCACATTAATGTAGCAGTAAACAAGAGGGGGACCAAATGTGTGGTTGATTTTTTACCATATATAATGTAATGAAAGCCAAATGTATCTAGGTAATCTGGGTGAATATGTTGTGTGTTATAAATGTCTGTATTATTTTCAATGTTTCTCTATTCATTTCCTCTTCAGCGATATCCAGCACCGCCGGATCAGGACAAGGTGCATGGCCAGAACGGCAAAAGGGCCCCAATGCTCAAGAAATGCTAAAGAACGGCTAGAATACCGGGACTATTGCCGGCAGCATTGTAAGTACTGACAAAGTCTCGTCAGACTCAACAGTTAATTAGCTTAAAAAGACAATTAAGCAATTTAAAGGGAAACATTTGTATAAAGACCACTCAAGGCAGGCAGTCTTCATGTACAGGTTCCTTGAGTTCACATTCCAATGTCAAACGCTTTTCAAGGAAACCGAAAATGCGGTCATTATAGACAGGTGGTCTTTCTATACAGGTGGTTGTATTACTCAAAATATATAGGGTCCTTGCCCTTCTTTGGGTAAAATGGATAATCCCCCTTCTTTGTTCGAGTGACATATACCACGTTTAAACAAAAAATCAAAGCTGCTAACCATGAAGATACCGAAATCATTAAAAAAAGAATTTGTAAAATATGAAAAAGAACCCCTATCAGGACTAAAAGAGCCCCCGTAAGAATTCTGAAAATCTGCTTGGTATACTTTGGCATGATTCAAACTGGACTTTTCGCAAATCTGTGTAAATTATGTAATGCAAGATGATGACCAGTTTCAACATCTGAGCTGTGCAGCATCCATTTGGGAAAAGAAAGTAAAATTTAAACTCATCACTGTGTCAAAGGGACGTGTATGTGATCCACTGCGTAGCAGATAGGGGAACGACTGCAAAGTGATACGAGTACCACATTAATGTAGCAGTAACAAGAGGGGGACCAAATGCGTGGTGGATACGTGGACCACTCCTTGGCACAATGGACCCCACTGCGTAGTGACAAAAGTACCACAATAGGGATTTTTAGATTTGCAGCATCCATTTAAGAAAAAAAAGTAAAATTAATAATGGTAAGAGCAAAAGATCTGTCCTGGTGGAAAATTCCACCGGGAGGACAGCTAGAATATCAACTGGTCTAAGCCAGAATCCTGGTGCCTCATTAAGTTTAAACTCAGAGCTCCTTGGCCCTCATCACTGTGTCAAAGGGACGTGTATGTGATCCACTGCATAGCAGATAGGGGAACGACTGCAAAGTGATACGAGTACCACATTAATGTAGCAGTAAACAAGAGGGGGACCAAATGTGTGGTTGATTTTTTACCATGTATAATGTAATGAAAGCAAAATGTATCTAAGTAATCTGGGTGAATATGTTGTGTGTTATAAATGTCTGTATTATTTTCAATGTTTCTCTATTCATTTCCTCTTCAGCGATATCCAGCACCTCCGGATCGGGACAAGGTGCATGGCCAGAACAGCAAGAGGGCCCCAATGCTCAAGAAATGCTAAAGAACGGCTAGAATACCGGGACTATTGCCGGCAGCATTGTAAGTACTGACAAAGTCTTGTCAGACTTAACAGTTAATTAGCTTAAAAAGACAATTAAGCAATTTAAAGGAAACATTTGTATAAAGACCACTCAAGGATGGCAGTTTTCATGTACAGGTTCCTTGAGTACACATTCCAATGTCATGCGGGCATTATAGACAGGTGGTCTTTCTATACAGGTGGTTGTAAAAGAAGCTTTCACTTAAACAAAAAATCAACGCTGCTAAGCATGAAGATGCCGAAATCATTAAAAAAAGAATTTGTCAAATTTGACCGGAAAACCATCAGTACCCAGACTCTTGTTATTCATAGTTTTGAGTGCATCAGTACATTCTTGTAAAGATATAAGCACATCACATTTTTTCTGCAAATCATCTGAAAGTTTGGGACATTCTATAGTATTCGACAAGAAATTATTGATATCCAGAGAAGGCGGAAGACACGATGAGTAAACTTTATCAAACTATTTTTTGGCCGCGAACAGGATATCTCTACTTGACGTCCGATTTTCCATCGTCATCAATTATCCTTTGCCTTTGGTTTCTCTTTTCTAAATTAATGAAATACCTTGTATTTTTTTCACCATATTCAACCCATGAAGCACGAGATCTGATAATTGTATCATACAGAGCGAGTCAGAAAAATGTCCCACTTTTTAAAAGTTGTATTGTTTGAAGTATGAATATTTAATAGTGGGCTTCATGATATGTCATGATAGAGTTATCCTCCCAGTACATGACTGACTGAACATCAGACATTCGTTACAAGACTGCCAGATCTCACTTGCGCCAAGTTGCATGCTGGGTGAGGAATAAAATAGTCTTTTGAACAAAGACTGCCAGACAGACAACAAAACACACACACATGCTCACACACGCGCACACCCTAACGCACACACGCACACACACACACAAATGAGCATTCCATTCCTATCAAGGCGCACCCAAACTGTTATTTTTGTTGGGAATTCTTCTTTTCGTACGGAAAGTTGAGTGGCCGCTGTCCTTTTGGTGCGTATTAGCGGATGTGCGTCATGATGATGATGATGATGATGATGATAATGATGATGATAATGATAATGAAGATTAAGATGATGACAATGATGATGACATGATGGTGGTAGTGAATGTGTACTAAAGGGACAGATTATCATGGTTATGCCACTTAACATTCAGCGATCTTGATTAAAAATCAAAACTCAGTAACTTGGCGCAAGTGAGATCTGGCAGTCTTGTAAAGAATGTCTGATGTTCAGTCATGCATGCAGAGATTCAAATGAAAATGATACCTAAATGTACTAGGAGGATAAAGAATGGAAAAAATCTTGTTATTTTGGCTTTTTGTATAATTTTACTTTAAGAAGAGAATATTTGATCTAGCGAAATAACCGTTAATATCTAGGCTATTATCACTAAATTACTGAGCCCTCGGTAATGTCGGGAAGGGATTCAGTCCAATTCCCTGCTAGAATCCTGTGGTGGGATCATGTTATGGTAACTCCCGAAAGAAAGACGGACGGTAGTTTTTAACAACCGGGATTTAAAGGCGTTATTCACGTAGGAGGCCATATGCCATCCCTATTTCGATGAATGCTGCCAATCTCCTATTGAAGAAATTTAAAGCTCAAAAGAAGGTAAAAAAGAAACAAACTACGGACATTGTAAATAGGATCATGCCGTATTGCAGTCCTTTTTCTACAGTAGCAGTGTACCTTCCCTGGAAGGTACTTTCTCGAAGTATATCTCGTCATCAATTAATCATTGTGGTCATGAGCAATACAAGTCCTAAAGTGAAGAATAAGTATTTGGGTGTGGAATCATAGAACTAGTCCTGAAGTCATCATTAAGCCACTAATTGCTCCTGTTAAAGCTCAAGTCCACTCCAAAAATAACTTTCTTTCAATAGAACCAGAAAAATCAGACAAACCAATACAAACAAGTTTGAGCAAAATCGGATAACTAATTAGAAAGTTATGAATTTTTAATGACATGAAAAACTTTGAAAATCACTACACAAATTGGCAACTCACTCATGAGTCTGTGACGTATGGTCCTCACTATCCACTAATTATTTTCTTTATATTGATAATATAAATTTCCTATTTTCACCCTAAGAATCTTATTTCTTCACACCAGCATCCAAGTTAGATTGTTGGTATTATGTTTTTGTGTGCATGCACAAATAAAGAGTAATTTTTGTCCAGTTAAATCATGAAAAATTGAATTTTGATAAACTATTTTTTATAAAATTCAATAATTATGAATAGACCCTAAACAATATTCAGACAAAAGTATCAATTTTTCAAAATTAATAGGTTTTTGGGAAATGTCATACACGTAATATGATACAATAACCTGGGCAAAGGCATGGGGAAATCTAGTTTTGGGGAATAAAAAGGGAAATTAATGGGATTAAACTATATAAAGCAATTGATAAGTTGTGAGGACATGACGTCACAAACTGATAACAATCTTGGCAATTTGTGTTGTGATTATCATTGTTCCATAGTTTTACATACTTTTTCAAAAATTCATAACTTTCTTATTAGTTATCCGATTTTGCTAAAACTTTTTATGATTGGTTTGTCTGATTTTTCTGCTTTTATTGAAAGTAAGTTATTTTTCGAGTGGACTTTTCCTTTAAAGATAAAGTTGAGTTCTGGTCATGTGATTGCATTGTAATGGAACGGTGTGGAATCTATCAGAAAAGGTTGATCATCTAGTATTGAGTATTCGTGTGTATTGCAAGGTTCTGGAATCATCAAAATGATAAGAAATTTGGCCAAATCTTGGCAAAATTACAAGCACTGTACACAGAATGATGTGTATGGGATTACACGAGCACATGTCGAAAAAAACCTACCCCCCCCCCCCCCCCGATTTTTACGATGTTTCATGTCATATTTAGAATCTAAAGGTATTTGAAGAGCCATGCTTAATTTTCAGGGAACATGTTTAATCTGATGTTCTTCCACCCTTGCATAATAACAATGATAACGCTCACAAATTATTTTTTACCTCTTCCCAGAACTCAACCTTCTCTTTAAGGGCCATGCTGGGCTTTGGTCTACTAAATGATATGGGTGTTGATGAATGGTAACTTAAATGTTTTGTTGTAGGAAGAAATAGACTGGAGCAGTAATTACATATGCTTGAATGTAGGCTACTCCTAGTATCTCTAGTACGAATAGCAAGACAAAAATAGCACAGATTGGTATGCTAATCATTAAGCTAGAGGAGAGCAATCATATAGCTGTCAAAAGAAAGATTAACAAATGCCCTGTTGTAAGGTTAGCAGCAAGTCGTTGGCCCACAGCTATAGGTTGCGGGAATAGACTAAGTGTCTATATTCACACCGTCAAAGGTATTAGAGCACTTGGTGCTCCCTGCAAAACTTAGTGACTCAGACGCCTGTTAAATGCAAGGTGGAAATCCCAGTCTGTAAGTCAAGGATATATGTGGCTTGTAGCTCTAGACTGGCCTAAAACACTAACAGAAAAAAATATTATTAACACCCTGTTGTTATGAGCCTGCCCAAGGTGTATAGTTTGGGATCTTGTTTTCTGTAAGATCAGTTCTAATGTGTTCTCTCGAAAACTAAGTCAAATGGACTGGAATCGAGAGGGGCCCATTTTTAGGTAAACAAATACAAGTCAAGATATGCCGAACACCATGGAAAATATGTTCATAAGAATAAAAAATAAGGTCTCTGGAAAAAACTGACCCCAAATTCTTGCTGTTACAGTCATTGTCAAGTTGTATAGTCTTCCTTATAGTTAAAGATGATTGGTTTGAATTGCTGGATGATGGTGAGCTGTTTAATAACAAATAACAAGGTAATTAATACAAAAATTCAAATGAGGAAAAACAATGATGGATCAAGATTTTAATACACGGACTACAAATTAGTCCTACAGTTTGC